GGTGGCGGTGATGGGCCCCGGAGTCGCCGCCGTTGTACGGAGCTGGGAAATCTGGTTCAGTGTGTTGTTTGCTCGGCAAAATTGCTGCGTTTTTTATGTTCATAAGAATCCGTCGGGCCAAATTAATTCATCCCCAAAGAGAGAAAAAATGATCCAAAATTGCCAGACATCAAAACGCCATACGAAAACGTGTCGCGATGCAAAAGGCTGAAATCGATCGTCATGGGTTCTCTGATAGTTAGCTAAATTTGGTAAATTACCACAAATGGTTAAACAATTACGCAAAATCTAATCAAGGAAATTCTTGGGGGAGAGTGATGAACAAGACAAGACAAAAGTAAAGTAAAGTCGCTTCCTTTAGACCAAAGGGACTTCGATGTCCACTAGATAATATGTTTTTAGAAAATTTTAATATGAATTCCCATCCCCTAATGGCTAAAATCAGAATGCTAACAAAAATTATAAATTTTTATGTAAAAAAAAACGGGAGAGTCATTGGAGACGGTGGAGAATGAGAACAAAAACACAAGATATTATGATATCTGGGTTTTGGTTGGATAAAGAGAAAGCCACTGAGATTCGTGTGTTTCTTCCATTCTCTCACTTTTTTTTTCGCCATTTTTCATGTACCCAGTTGTCAGTGTCGCAGTCACGCAGTAAAATTTTTTAAAAAAAATCACAGAGATGGAAACGCAGAACCCGATTATGTATCATTAAAGTTGGCTGGCCGACCCAGATCATCTCCGGCGAGTTTCTCGCCGGAATCAGTAAACTTCCGGCAAGACAACCAACAAATACACTGACAGAAAGCGACAATTGTACCTTAATGTCGTCGACTTCCGGCGGAGAAACAGGAGGACTGTCGGTCAAGGAACCATTGAGAGGACCACTGCTGTGAGAGAGCCGACCTGATGTTCTTGGAGACACTTCTTGCTGCAGAAATTTAAAATAATTTTTTTTTTTAAAAAAAAAAGAGATTTGTAAGTTTTTTTTAATCCCTCACAAGAAAAAAACTCCAAAATTTTGTGATTATCAAAGGGCCCAGAGAAAAAAAAGAATGTTCAGATGTATAAAGAGGTTAAAGAACAAGAGAAAGAATCGTTTTATTTATGATTCATAATTATAATAATTGCGCGTGGAATCATCTTTTGTTTAACCTCACTGATAAATCTTGAACAAGATATATCGGATGAGATCGTAATGACCCATAACCCATTTGGAAATCCCAACGACCTCAAAACTCCAGAAAATCAAGAACATCAAAGACAAAACCCAGATTAAGTTTTGTCATTATCCCATAAAAAAAATGCTTCGTTTTGTCCGCAAATGCTCTGTTTTGTCCGAAACCGCTCTGTTCTCACAAAAAGAAAAGAAAGAAAAGGAAGAGAGAATACTCACAGACTGAGACAAGATACGTTCCATAACCATCTGAGAAGTCTCGGAGGTGGCGAAGGAGAAAGGGTTGCCGGAGACTGCGACGGCGTTCTCCTCCGTGTCACCGCCTGAGATGGCGGCTTCCTCTTCCAGTATGACCCTGCCGCCGGAGGTTTTCGAGAGGAGGAGCTGAGTCGCCGGAGGATGCGACGGCGGAATCAAAGCCTTGGAGACTTCAACCGCCGACACGCTCCATGAGCGGGAAAGAAACTCCATCGGCTCTTGCGGCGTCTCCAGCGGCCAGAAAACCGGGTCCGGCCGCCATGTCTCGAGCACGGCTTTCTCCATATTGTCTGTGTCTCAGAGAGAGAGAGAGAGAGAGAGAGAGAGACGCGGTGGAGATGGTGATGGAAGTGAAGGTCGTCAAATGGCTGCGATTTATAGAGTGAAGGATTGATCTTTTTTATTTAAAAGAGACAAAAAGAAAAATCAGTAAAATTTATTAATTTTAATCCAAATTCATTTACATCAAATTTCGTTTGATTTATTATTCCGAACACGTTACAAGGAACCCGCATTTCATTGTTGTTATTCCGAACACTGTCCACTTATGTTGTAATAAATAATTGCCTTATAAAACGCATAATCATAAGAACAATAACACGTGGAAATATAACATTAATGCCATATGGTCGACGTCGTTTTGCAATTTTGTTTCTGAAGGGTGGTGGTGACACACTGCATAAATGAGAAGGGGTCCTCGGTTTTCATACTTATTCTCCACACCACCAACTCCATATTTAATATATATGTTAATTGGTCAAATCGAATTTTACATATGATCAGTCCAACATTTTATATTTTAATTTGAATTACAAAATAAACGTTTTAGATATTAATATATACCTTTTGCATGCACTATTTTGTTTTGTTTAACAAAATAGTGCATGGAACTTATTGCTTAGTTTTTTCTAAAAAAAAATATAATTTCATTTCAAAGGAAAAAGAATAATCATTTATTTGCAGTAAACACTAAATTTCAATTGTTATTTTCATACAGGTTAACATTCGTATATACTTTAATTATAAAAAAAGATATATAGTTATGAATTGGAACGATATATTGAAAAGATAAATTAATGAACCGGTTTCGAGATGGGATTGTTTAAAGCCTATGTAAACATAAATAAATCGATATATTTTTAGTGGAGATCTATATATAATATCCAATTTTTTAAATAGAAAAGAACATATCCAAAGTTCGTACCCACGTAAATTCCAAGTGATCCAAAATCTCTTTGGATCCGATATTAAAATAATAATATTTAATCGGTTTTATTTAATTTTGTAAATAATATATAATATCAGGTGGTTCCGAGGAATCCATGGACGTCTCTTCGATTTTCATAACTAAAGCGGCCGCAAGCTCATGATTTGTGACGGTCCCATCAATTGCATTTGCACTCTCCTCTTTTTCTTCATTTAAATAATAAAATATAAATTGTTTGAATCCAAAATATAACCATACTATATAAAATTATCTTTTTTTCTAACATGTTTTTTTACGGAGAAAATTGTTATAGCACCAATGATCTAACATATATATAACTTTATAGAATACACACACACATATATATATATATAGCCTTACATTTAAAATGAAAAGAAGTGTAAATTTTGTAGAGAAAATTGTCTGGATATCTCAAAATCCTGAATATCACTAAAACTAGGCTTAATAATTTAAATTAACAGTATTCATTCTATTTTTTATTTTTAATAAACATTTTAACCTTAATGTTAGTATAATTTCTTTAATAAACTTTTTTAGATACACACCCAAACTAGTATATATATATATATATATATATATATATATATTTGCCAAATGAAAATATTAAGTAAAGGTATATGATGTGAAGATATCATTTTCGAGTCATTAAATGGGGGAGACATGAGATTAGAGAAATGAAAATGAAATGGATTGAATTTTTGGTTAGGCGGATGGGTGAAGGTGTTTGGTACGTAGGGCATGCATGATCATCTCTTTAATTATCATCATTAAAAGCTTCGATAATACCTGGGACCTTAAATTTATTGCTCTATCCGATTTGAATAAGCACATAGCTATAATCAATAAATTTATTACCATACCAAGATATAACAATTACATGGTATATCTAATTAATAAACACGTAATATTTTTCTATGTGAAATATGACAAAAATATGTGTATATGAACGCAAGTTCAATGACATGGATTGGCCCTAATTCTGGATTAGTTTGGATTTCGGGCCAGGACATTTGCTTACTAATTTTTTTTTTTGCAAATTTACAATCGTATTTGCGAAGTAGTATCAGAGTCCTCACAAAACACTTTGACGCTCGTACGTGCAAGGAACCGAAAAGAAGACAATGAGTTTTAACGAGTTTGGTTACCGAACGATGCTCGGACCTACATCTCGGCCGGACGGTATTGAGAATCTACTAGAAGAGGGGAAGAGAACCATCGGAACCAAGTACAGACGGTGCTCCACAAATCGGAGACTCGCCCAAACCAGAACAGTCCTGAAATCACCAAGAGAAGACACACAAGGCCTTTACCGACCCTTACCTCGACCCACCTTTAGCGGTCGCCGCCGGTTCGAGCTTCACCGTCGTCGGGAAACTCCTCTGCTTCCGCAGTCTCTCTTCTTTCTCTCTGATTTCCCTTTCGCTCTACCTGCCTCGAGCCACGCGCATCGTCATATCGAATAATCAAAGTGCATTAGGGTATTAACCCTAAAGATCCGAAACTCGTCGTTTCGACCAATGAGCTGAGTTCCTTTTTCCGCCAAATAGACCGGTAAACCCAACAGTATTATATGGATGAGTAAACATATCATGCTAATAGTATGATTAATTAGCTACGTTTAGATTGTTCGGTGGTAAGATAATATACAAAATATATTTTTATCTTAGATACCGTGAATTTTCGGATTTAAAAAAAGTATTATAATAATGACATCTACATACACTGTTGACGAATGAAAAGCCGTGTAGTGTATCAAAGATTCCTTCTTCATCGGCCACACAAAAAGGTTGAACCCCTACAATCTCTAATATGGTTTTTCAACATTTTGATTTGAATTTTAATTTGAAAATTCAAATTATGTGTAAATTGTATAATCATATAAATAAATTTGCATTTACTAGAAAATGCGAAATTATTTCAACCTTATTTAAATGTGTTTATATTTCCTAAAAATTATTAAACAACAATCATTTTTATTAAAATTAAAAAAAATATTTTTTAATAAAGATTCCCAAATCCATGGATACTAGATTAAATTTTAAATTTTTATATCCAAAACAGTTGGACGCAATTTTTTTGTAATCTCAAATTTTATGATTTATTTTTATAAGTTTCCAACTATATGGATCTTATCCCAAAGTTTGTATTTGTCGATATGGTATGGTATAATTTATACAGTTTTTAATTTAAAAAGATTCGGTCAATATTAAAATAATATGATTGGAATGTGTAAATAAATTCGCATATAGGTACCAAATGTGAGTGGGCGACAAGAAGTCCCTAGTGTTTGGACAAAAACGAATTCCCACTCTTATCCAAGATTATATTATTCCCCCACACGATCGGCTTATTCTTGAAAACAATCAATGAAAAATATGATTGGAATCTTTGATTAAAAAATCATAATACAAGATTAAAGTATACCACCATCTAATATATCTTTATTTTATAATAGATTAACTCACATTCATTACAAATTAAAAATAAACAGGAGAGCTTCTAAGATATGTTATGCTAATTGTGTAAATATTATTTATATTAAAATTCCTCTCTATAGGATTATTTTTCATACATTATAGAATATAAAGATTACGACTAAGACAATTCACGTCGTCAAGAAAGATCATTAGTATTTTTAGTATTATTTATTATTTTCTAAATATATCTGATTTTTTCGTTATAAAATATCGTAAATTAGACATAATTTTCTGTAAAAAATTAAAAAACATTTTTTTGTATGCTATATTGTATTTAAATTTGTTTTTTTGGTAATAAATATTTTCAATTATATATATATATATATATGTATATATTGCAATCTTCCTTAATCCTTTAGCGTTCAAATGAATATAATCATTAAATAATAATGAGAGAGAGCTATACAAAATAGTCAGTTCATAACAAAAGAAGACAAGACGACAATGATGAAACGTTTGTAGGAATTTGCACAAATCAGTGTAAATTTTACTCAGCTAAATTTCGGTGTAACATCCGACGATGTTTCCAGCTTCAACTTCCAATGCCACTTTCTTTGGTTTACGTGAAATTAATTTCTTTTTTTTTAAAATATGGATAAATTATCAGAAAATATGAATCATATAAAAAAAAACTTACATATTAATACATGAAAAAAGCTTCATGAAAATAGCAATCTGAAATAGAAATAGACGATTGTGTATAAGTAGATATTTAAATATTTTTATTTCTAAAATTCGGGTATTCATAATTCTCGAACTCGAATTCCCATGAAAAGTTAGAATATATACATATATAACGGACGAAATAGACATCTTCACAAAGATTTTGGGTTTTTTTTTTTTTCTTTCTAAATGAATATAAATGATAAAAAGGGGAAAATCATTGTTATTAGGCCGTAACTTTGTTGGGCCTTAAATTTTGGGCCTCCGAATTGAAATGTTCCGTCTCCTCCGAATTAAATTTTGGGCCCTTAGTTTTAAATTGGGCCGTGACATTTTTTATTTTCAAATTGGCCCATAATTCATCACTTGAAATATATATCAGAAGCCGCTCCTGGAGGATTATATATTTGTAACAAGGACAAGGACATAACAAGGTACGATGCAATAATCAACTGATATTGTAAAAAAAAAAAAAGCTCTACAGTAACATCAATGAGCCAACATAGAGACATATTATCATCATCCACAAGAACGGAGTTCTACTTCGATCCAATCTCGTTGCTGCAGGAAAAAAAAAAAATAAATGTTTTCAGATGGGCCCAAATCTAAGTTGAATCTTAATATATGATATTTTATTTTCAAAAAATTTCATATTTAAACTTGGGTTAATGGGTCTGACCTTGACTTTTGCTGCTATCAGCCAAGGCAGGCGGAGGAGAAGCAGAATTGTTGAATAGAGGAATCCCAAGATTCACACAGTCCATTCCAAATGCACCTATTCAAAAACATCACCGTTCCAAAAAAAAAATGTAATATTTTTCGAAATATATAAATAGAAATATCAGTTGTTATATGTATGGCAAGAGTTCTTTACATTGTCTGAAGCAAGGAAATGCAGAAACGTTGAGGAGATTGCTGTAGCCTTGTTGGCATTCACAGGTGTACGTGAATGGAGAAGTCGTGTTGCATGAGCCGCCTCCACAGTCGGTCCAATGGCATGCTAGTAGTAGTTTTATATATAACATGATCCATAACAATGTTAGATGATATATACATATATATATATATATAATACAGATTTGTTAGGGGGTGATATAGATTTAAGTTAAATGATTTCTTACGGTCGATGAATGAACCGTTCTTGGGTTTGGTCGGTTTCAGCTCTTCTGCAGGAGAAGGTGCTTCACCACAGGCGAAATCCATAGTACCTGAAAGATCGATGTCAGTGGCACAGAGGGAGAGAGAGAGAAAGAGAGAGATTACAGAGAGAGAGAGAGAGAGAGAGAGAGAGATTACAGTTGGGGATGATGCATGGGAGAAACTTGAGGTGATGATCGATCTGCTTCCAACCAGATTCACATTCACATTCGAACATAAAAGTGCTGTTCGAAGATGGCTTGCATCCCCCTTTCCCGCATTCCACTTGTTTACACACATCATCTTCATTCACAACCCCAAAAAAAAAATTCAAATTCAAATTCAAAAAACGAGTCACGGGATATTAAGAAGGAGCGTCAAATTCAAAATTTGAACACGACCGTTCAACGAAGATTACTGTTTTTCCCCTTCCTCCCCCCTTCAAAATCCAATTTCATAGAAAGCAGAATTTCTGAAAGAGATTACAGTTGGGGATGATGCATGGGAGAAACTTGAGGTGATGATCGATCTGCTTCCAACCAGATTCACATTCACATTCGAACATAAAAGTGCTGTTCGAAGATGGCTTGCATTCCCCTTTCCCGCATTCCACTTGTTTACACACATCATCTTCATTCACACACACAAAAAAAAATCAAATTCAAATTCAAAAACGACTCACGGGATATTAAGAAGGAGCATCAAATTCAAAATTTGAACACGACCCTTCAACGAAGATTACTGTTTTTTCCCCTTCCTTCCCCCTTCAAAATCCAATTTCATAGAAAGCAGAATTTCTGAGGAGAACCAGAGTTTTATATACACAACCCATCAGATAAAATTGAATTTTCTCCATCATCCAATGAATAAAAACCATACTTTTTTTACTAAATAGATCCTCGTGCGAGCGCTACGTCATTTGAGACCAGAGGTATGACTGAACCGTAAGATCAAAAATCAAATTTTGAGAGGAACCCATTGGAGAACATCAGATTTCTAGCATACCCACTCGACTAAAATATAAAAAAGAAACAAAAACTAATGACCCAACCAATTGAAGAACATAACGAAAAGAGGAAGACAAACCGAAGATAGGAGAGAGAATGGGGGACAAGAAGTCAGATGCGGCTGTCTTCTGGTACATGAGAAGCAATACTGCCAGAATCCAGAGTAATGTTCTTACAGACGCCATATCATCCATCTCCTCGACCCCCCCCTGCCACTACCAAATCCAAGATTCCAAGAAAGAGAGAGAGGGAGTTTTTAGTGTTCGACGGGTTTTTGTTTCCGAGAAATCAAATGGAAACAAGATGGGTTCTCTTCTTTTTCGGTGATTTATATTGGGCTGTTTTTTTTTCTTTTTCGGTTTTTTTTTGTTGGTAGGAGTTGAGATGTAAACATGGTGGAGTAAATAGTACAGTGATGGATGGAGATGGACTTCTGGTTTGGGATTTTGGAGGGGTTGTTGTTAGTTGAAAATCATATTTATTGTGTTTAAAAATGAAATATCCCTTTATATTACGGTTTTTTTGTCATAAAAAACGAGAAATTATAAAGATCTAATCTTTATCAAAGAGTGTAAATTTTAATGATGAAAATATTTATTAAATTAATATGTTACATGTCTTTATATATTTTAAAATTTGTGTAAAATTCTAAAACTACTCTTTTCATTAAACAAAAAAACAAAAAAAAAATAATTGAGAGAAAAATTATGTCCTGATTGGATAATGAGGAGGTAGGATCAAAAATTCTAAATTTGATAATTAATGATAATAAATGACGTTACCTAAAAGTCTTTCAAAAGTCTACGATATCGTTATTCATTTGAATATTCCTACGAATCAGCTGCAGTAAATTTTTATTTTTATTTTACTGGGTCTCTGAATATCGATATCACATTTTATATCGTTATATTGAAAAGAGTCCTTGTATAAAATTTCCTCTCTTTTTTTTTTTTTGCCATGTATATCTCCATCAGAGAATCGACAATTTAATTACTTAATATTAGGGCTGGGCGTTTCGGTTCGGTTCTTCGGAACCGGACCGAACCGAACCGTTAAACCCTAAACTCTAAACCCTAGTACCATTTTTAGAGAACCGAATTTTTTCGGAACCGAACCGAACCGATCCGAATTTTAAAAATCCCGAAAAACCGAATATTTTTAAAGAAAATCTACCATTTTTTTAATAAAACCCGGAACCGAACCGAACCGATACCGAACCGAACCGAATACAATAAAAAATCTGATTGGTACCTATTTTTGTAAAACCGAAAAAACCGAACCGATTCATTTCGTCCCGAACCCGAACCGTTTCCCGAAACGTCCACCCCTACTTATTTATATGATATTTACATAGTTTAAACTCTAGTTTCTATATTTTAGGGATTCAAATTAGCTACTGGATTATCGGGAGAAAATGGTAACAAAATGTTTCCGAATGAACTTATATTTATAAACGAATGTATGGCACATAAGCTTGAACAATTTTTTTTTTATGAATTGCTGAATTTCGTTATATGCGGACTGCCGACCTCGTGTGTGTGTATATATATATATATTAGTCAAACTATTCAGATTTTATAATATTGATGCCTCATGTCATGTAAGAATGGTCAAACAAGAGTAGTTCAACTGTGACCGACCATGAACATACATATATATATATATATGTATGTATATATATACAGTAATTCAGATCCTGTTACAATGTGATAACAGCTCCAAATTTTTTCTGTTTCATAAATTTTGGTACGTGACGGTAACAAACATAACGATTCTGATTATTTTTTTTTTTTGGGTGCTAACGATTAATTTTAACAACCTTTGTATTTATTTTTGTTTTTATTTAGTTACGGTGTTTTTGTGGTTGGCCCAAATATTGTGCTACTCATTTCTATGGCAGGCCCGCTAATAAAACTGCAAGCCCATTTCTAAAATATAAAATATAGGCCCACATTTATATACCTTTGCACCTCGGCCCATCTATTCCACGTTTATTTTCGTCTTATAGACTTGTTTGTTTAAAAAATTTATATCGTATTCGATTTTTATATTGACTTTTGGTTCGGTACGAATTTTTTCAGTTTTTTTTTTAAGATTTTGTTTAAAACATTCAAATTTTGCAACATACGAATTCTTCTTCTTCTTCTTATTATTATTATATTAATATTATTATTACTATTGAAGATAAACTATAAATACAATCATTTAAAACCTCTTAATAACTCATTTAATGGGGGTAAATTTGAATTCTCAGCTGGTAAATGTGACACCTTTTAAATTTCATATTTTTTTTCTCAAGCAAAACAATAGGAAAAAAAAATAGAAATTAAACAATTAAATTATTTTCATGCAAGGAATTCAAAGAAAATCGAAAACATAATATTTTTTCAGTTTGTAAAATATAACATCACTTTAAATTCATCAAAATAAAAAATAATAATAATAATAGAAAAGTCTCCAACACACATCGAAGGGGATGCTTCCATGCATCAAACATGATGGACCTGGTCAAGATAGTATAACACTCCATGTGACTGCCAGCTATACACAAACACCGACACTTACATATATACGTGTGTATATACATATGAGTGTGTGTATATAATATACCTATTTATTTGGGGGAAAAATAATACTACGAGCTTATATTGTACATGATGACAAAATCTCCATAATTAGAGGGAATCGAAATTAATCAATGCACTAATCAGTAATCACTAATCAGCAATATGACAGTCACAGAGAGGCTGCCGTTTCATAATTATTTATTTGTACGGTACACTCCAATTTGATCTTTTTTTAAATTTATTTAGCATTTTGAAGACACTCTTAATCATATTTATGTTTTGTTCAGATCCGATAACTGTAAATAAGGAATTACGTTTACCACTATGAAAAGGGCTTTGGCTAATAAACAAATATTTTTTTTTATCCCATTGACTATTTGTTAATTTTATAGATTTTTGAATTTTAAAGTTTCATTTTACTTTGTATTTTCGATTTATCATTTGATTCATTTCATTATGTAATTGGACCGACTGAATTATATCGTGATGCAGTATTGATATCGGGCATTAGATGCAATTAAGTTAACTGTCTGCCACACCAACTTGTTCAAACCCTAAACGGTAACGATCCATGAAGGCACCCCACATCATTGTCTTCAGAAGTCTGCAATTAATTGGCCCCATAGCATTATAAAACTTTGGTCTAGTGCATGTGAATTATATTTATTAGAATTTGAACGAAAAGTTATAATAAGATGACTTGTTTTATACAAATTTTAACAACAAAAGAAAAAAAAAAGATGACTTGTTTTAGGGTTTTAGTATCGGGGCATGCCCTACACTTTGGAGGGTGGACACGTGGGTCGGGTCAGATATAAAAACATGAATTATTTTTAGTTATTAATTTATGAAAATTATAGTATGTGATCAAACGCATAACTACATGCAGAAGACATATGTGATATATATATATATAGAAAACCAATATATATATATATATATATATATATATTGTGTAAAATGGGAAAATGACTGCTATATATGGTTATGGTCAAAACCTATAATACAGGGAACCCCCCGACCGGCGACCCATATGGCATTTTTTTTTTGTCATTTAATATTCTGTTCCACGCACACACTATAAGTCTATAAGCATCATTTTCTCATAAGTTTCTATATGACCATCCAATCATGCTTAATTGTTTATTCTAATAACTTGTTATATTGTATATGTATATATATATGTTGCATATATACTCTAAAATATTCCATGTTCTACTATAATCCACAAGCATCCATGATAAGAAAACAATATGGTAAGATCATGATAAAGTATTTTTCACGTATTCTGCATGTTCTTGACCCGTTTTCACATGGCTCTCTGATATTTCCCCATCTCACATATAAGCCAAACGGTCCACCCAAATTTACCAAACTGCCCTCCACAACTCACATATATATATTCAACAATTTATGATTATCCACAAATATGACTGGATATTTAAAAAAAATAAATAAATAAATAATATTAAGTGGAGATGGTAGTCAAGGAAGATCGTGGTGGAACATATGGTGTTAGGCTGTCCAAAAAGAGACAGTTAAAGAGTTGCAGGACATTGTCTTAAAACAAGAATGGTACTCTCTGTACCTCTGAAAGCTACTTCTCATTAACCGACAATCTCTTCAAACACCTGTCTCCTTCTTCCTCTTCTTCCTCACTGTAATGTAACAGTCCTGATCTTCTCTGTTAATGGGGCTTTGCTTGCTCTAGAAGGGAGTTTTTTTATTCTTGGATAAGGAAAGAATGGGGAAGACAAGCAAATGGCTTCGCAGTTTCTTGATCGGAAAAAAAGATCACAGAGTGAAAGAGAAGGGGACGAGTCCAAGCGAGAGTATTTCTCCGGCGACTCCTAAGGAGAAACGGCGATGGAGTTTCAGACGTTCCTCGGCCACGGCTCCGGCCAATTCCAGCCCGAGAGATTCTGCCGTGGAGGCCAAACCACAGCAGCCACCGCCACCGCCACCACAGACGGTGGTTACGGTGGTGGAGAGTGAGGACGAGCAGAAGAAACACTCTCTCACCATGGCTGCAGCCACGGTGGTGGTGGAAGAGATCGCGGCCATGAAAATTCAGGCGTATTTCCGCTCCTACTTGGTAAAAAATCCGGCTAAGTTCCAACCATTTCGATGAATTCTGATATATTCAGAGGGTTAAGACTATTTTTTGTATTTTGGATGCAGGCGAGGAAGGCGTTAAGAGCGTTAAAAGGAATAGTGAAGTTGCAGGCTCTTGCGAGAGGGCATCTGGTGAGGAAACAAGCCACGGCTACGCTCCGTTGCATGCAGGCTTTGATCACATTACAGGCTAAGGCTCTTGAACAAAGGATCCGTATGATCGAAGACCCAAAACCCTCCATTCCGAGATCATCAACTCACGGGAATTCATCTCAAGAAACCCGAATCAAGAACAGTTACCATTACCATGTACGTACCAAAATCTCGCCCTCGAAAACCATGGGCAGATTTGTAGAGTTCTTGGCTTTAATCCTCCGTTTCTCGATTGATTCTCTCTCTGTCTCTGCAGGAGAAAGACAGAGTTCTTGAGGAGAACATCAAGACTGTCGAGATAGACGACGACATTCAATCTAAGCAATACTCTCCAGCTCCTTCAGCCATAACCGAGATGAGTCCCCGGGCCTATAGCGGTTATTTCGAGGATTACAACTTCACCACAGCTCAGAGCAGTCCTCAGTGCTTCAGATTCAAAGGAGATTATTACAAGAGAGATTCCTTGTCTTCGTATGATTACCCTCTGTTCCCAAACTATATGGCGAATACCGAGTCTTCTCGGGCAAAGACGAGGTCTCAGAGCGCTCCCAAACAAAGGCCACCTGAACTATACGAGCGTCAGCCGAGTGGACGGAGAAGGGTTTCCATGGAAGGTCCAAGAAATGGCATCCCGAGAGCGGTAAGGATGCAGAGATCGTCGTCTCATGTGGGTTCGACTGTGATGGCCAAAGATCATCATCATCATCATCATCATCATCATCATCATCATCAGCTTCAGTACTATCCATGGATGGGGATTAAGCTCGACAGATCTAACGTCTCCCTTAAGGAAAGCGAATGTGGATCGAGCAGTACGGTTATGACAAACATAAACTACTGCAGATCTATGGTTGGAAGCGATGTGAGTGGAGTTTAGATAGTTACTTGTTGTCCAAGAAACGTGGAATCCTTGTGGAGATTCTATAAGCTAATGTCTTGGTTGTTGTTTTCTTCCCCTGCAGGTTCATGGAAACAAGTAGTGAGTGATTTAGAATCAAGAGTGGCTTAAAAGATTCGCTTCGGATCAGACATTAGCATGAAACATAAGACTTTGGGGTTTATGAAAATAGCATCGGACAAATAATTTCAAGTTGAAGATTTGAACAAATAACTTCCCTGTCAGGATATTGAATTTTGTTCTTGAAGCCTTCTTCTTCTGCTTTATATTTATTTTTCTTTTGTTTAATATTCATTTTTCTTTTGTTTTTTTATCCTACGATTACGTAGAAAACTAAAATGTAGAAATAAAATAAGACAAATAGAAAGGAACGAAATTACTTTTATTGCTACATCTCTTCTTTTTCTGGTTTCATTACAATGAAAATAACTCACATATTTATAGGAAAATTAACAAATAAAATAAAAGAAAATATAGATATAACGGAAATAAATATGATTCACAATATTTAACATAATATTGTGTTCCTCTAAAATCTAGATTTTCCTCCAATCACATATTCATTTTCCTATTTCAACATTCTCCCTCAAGATTGATTTTGAAAGAATGCAAAAATCAATCTTGAAAAGATAATGCGATAAAAATCCATAGACATTTCCATTGTCTTTTGAAAAATCCATAAACACAAAATTTAGTTCTTTTAGAGAATATTACCCATGTTCAAATCAATTCGCTTAACTTTGAAGTTCTACCTTTAACTCTTTTTGTCATAGCACCTCGCTTGATCTTAGAGTTTTTAGGTTTGACTTCTTTTTGTCACAGGACCTCGTTTGATTTTGGGATTTTTACTTCTATTTGAACGATTTGGATATATGAACATCCAAAACTAAAAAAAAAAGAAGAGATTGAGAAAAAAAAAAGATATAGAGCAGATCGAACCAGACTCTGATACCATGTAGAAAACTAAAATGCATAAATAAAATAAGACAAATAAAAAGGAACAGAATTACTTTTATTGCTACATCTCTTCTTTTTCTGGTTTCATTACAATGAAAATAACTCACATATTTATAGAAAAATTAACAAATAAAATAAAAGAAAATATAGATATAACGGAAATAAATATGATTCACAATATTTAACATAATATTGTGTTCCTCCAAAATCTAGATTTTCCTCCAATCACATATTCATTTTCCTACTTCAACATATTCTAAGCTTTTCCTTTTTTTATTGGTTCGATAGAAATTCATGCATATGTTTGGTTCGTATCGATTTATCATTATTCAAAATAAACCATTACATTCAATCACAATCTTATAATATATTATAAATATCTAAAACATAGAAATCAAATCAATTCTATGATAATGTTTTGAAATATTCTTAATCGAGAATATTCTTCATATTTCTTATATATATACATATATTTCAAAATATTATTGTGAGGTTTGTGTAGAATATAGATTTGTGTTGAATATTATTGTGAGGTTTTTGTTATTCAAAAATTAGAATTATGGTATTTATAAAAATAAAATAAAATATTAATTATCAAATAGAGAAAAAAAGAAATCAAATATATTTTAGAATAATTTTTTATAGTAGAAAAAATAATATAAATTTTCTAATAATTGCATAAGTTGGAGAAGACTAAAAAACCAGAAAACGCCGATCATCTAATTTTTCATCTAATTTCAAAAGGCAAAAACAAAACGTTCAATTGACATAATGGTCAAACATTGGTTTAAAACTATATAGGGTCATTATAGGATATAATACATGGTTATAAAACTTATAAATTTAATCATCATTTATTCATTGACGAGGTTTAGATAGCTACCAACATGATATCTTATATATTACACGTCATAATAAAATAAAATATGTCTTCATTTTTATTTATAATACGAGTAATAAATAGGCACAAATTACTCAAAATTCGCCAAACCGCTAGACCTTTCCTCATATGCGAACTAGAGAATGGTGAGAAATGTATGTTTTGGTTGGATCCTTGGCTGCCTCAGGGACCACTCACATGACAAGGTTCTTTTTGGTATCATCATTTCGAGTCTCTATTTGTTGGTTTCATCAATTAGAGCCTCTTTAAGTGAGACTTTTCTCTTATTCTAGGTATTGAACTTTTATGTAACTTTTGAGACTAAAGGGTGGTTATTTAAAGCTTTTCTTTTGTAAGAAATATCATACATATATAAAATTTTACCGTTTAAAAAAAACCTGTGTTTTTTCTTATCTATTTTAAGATGTTTTTTATCGTTGGTTTATTCTATTTGTTTATATAGATTGTAAGTAATACGTAAAGTTTTTTGATATTAGTTCAATAAAAATAATATTTTGGTAACGAATTATCATATGACCCTTAGTCCACAGATCATTACGAATTAGAATATAACGTTAAGTCTTGATATGGATATTTGATATATAATATATACGAGCCCGAAATGAAAAAATAAAAAATAAATTTTTAGAGATTTTTATTCCACGGCATAAAAGATTAATTGATAAAAACAAAATATGAAATCATAGTATTGAATAAGACATAACTATTTTAAGAGAGTTAAAATAAAATAATTTTAGTATAAACAGCACAAAAAACAATAGCAAGTAGAGAAATACAGAAACGTAATTCAACATAAATTAAATCAATTATTTCCAAAGTTGTTAGAAACAATTGGAAGAATAATAAAAGCCAAAGTATTGGAAAAAAACAAAAAAATCAGGCTAAAACTAGAACCGAAATAAAATGAACCGAAATACCTGTAACAGCTGTTTATAATACTAAACTTGTAAAAAGATATTACTATTCATGGAAGAAAGACAAATCACATATGCATATATAAATATCCCTTGTCGTGACTCATTTGTGAAAATAAATAAATAAAAACTAAGATTTTTTAAAAGAAAAAAAAGAAAAAAGGAATGGAGGGCAAAACAATGATAGCTATTGTAGGGTTGATGATGATGATGAGTGTGTTGATAGGGCAAGCTTCTGCAGGATTTGGAGAATGTTATGAAGATTGTTTCAACGGATGTATGCAAAGACCCAACGCAGGATGTGTTCTTCCTTGTGTTAGTGAGTGTTGGTACCAAACTAATCGGAATGGCGCCGATCGTGCTTCACCTCCAAGATCTGTCCGGTCATTGTGATTCTATCACTGCCTTTGTATCTTATTTGGGATAAAAATATCATGCTGATACTGTCAAAGAAAAGGGTTGCCTCAAAAATTCGTCGAAGGTGTTTGGAAGGACGTCCCATATTTACCCGAAACAATTTCCTTTATCATGTAAAATGAAAAAAATGTTATCATTACATCATTATTTGCCAATCTTGAAAATTTTTTATTTTTATATAAGAGAACAAAACTGATTAAAAAATAATCTCACCTTTCTCATAATTCATATAAATAAGGAATAAATACAAGTAGTTTGATGCTAAAAAAAATTGTTAAATAAGAATTGTATTAAAACTAAAAACTGGAAAACTCCTTGATGCAACATTTAATATCCAAATAACTCTATTAATTATCTACCAACATGATATCTTATATATTACACGTCATAATAAAATAAAATATGTCTTCATTTTTATTTATAATACGAGTAATAAATAGGCACAAATTACTCAAAATTCGCCAAACCGCTAGACCTTTCCTCATATGCGAACTAGAGAATGGTGAGAAATGTATGTTTTGGTTGGATCCTTGGCTGCCTCGGAGAGAGAGAGAGGACTGCACGGAGAGAGAGTTTACCGAAGAAGAGAGAGAGCGTTTTTTTAATTTCAAAAAGTTAGGTATTTTTTTAATCGAAAAGTAATGGTCCTTTTGGTCTTTCATTTAAAATTCAGGGATATATATGTCTTTACTCCATTTCAGATTTTATTTTTTTTAGATTTATTTTTTGGCGCATCCGGCAGACGACGACTTGAGAGAGGCAGCATCATGTACGGGATTTACGTTTTGGTTTGCGAGACTTGTATTTCCCACATTTTGTACGGTTAAATTATAACTATTCGGACATGTGTTATTTTGCGATATTGATCGCCTGTTGTATTTTCCGCTGCTTACTCTGATTTGATTTAAAAATGTTTTTGGATTTCGTATTTCCGCTTCCGCCAAATTGTTGTTTTATTTTATATCGTCCATGTGGCACAGCCCGTATACTGTACACGGGTTACGGGTGTCACAACGAATGGTATCAGAGCCGGTACTCTCCCAGTACGGTGTGGCTCGAGGACGAACCAGGCGGAAGCTGGTGGGCCTGTGACAACCCAGAGTACCGTAGGAGGGCGGGGAGTGATCGCCGGTGCAGAGGCACGGACAAGGGGCGGCTACTGACGAGCTTCTGGGTAGGGGGTACAGGGATGAATCGAACACACCGGAATGAGAGAGATCCGAGGGCTGCATAGGTATGGGACTATGCAGTCTAAGATAACATAAAAATAAATTAGTTGGGCTACTCATAGCAACAAGGTGCACCTACCTTTTTGGTTGACTATCGCGAGAGAACTCCAAAGTTAAGCGTGCTGGCTCTGGAGCAATCTCAGGATGGGTGACCTACTGGGAAGTGTCTCGGTATGCGTGCGAGTGAGGACAAAACAGGCTGAAAGGTATCGGGTTGCTGTGTGAGGGCAGTTTCGACAATTCGTAGCGGCCTCGGGTCGTTACAGATGGTATCAGAGCCACGTTCTTTTCTTGGGAAGGAATCGTGCTCATTACCCCACGATTTTCTACAAAAAAAAATGTTTTCAAACCATGTCCGAAGAAAATCCTCTTGTCCGAGGTCCGTACATTGATGATGCCGCATCGGTCATCAGTTGCTAAACTGTCTTAATGTGGTGCAGTGAAATGGCGCCACGACGTGCTAGGCTTGCAGCGAGGGCTGACGACATTCCCGATCAGGCTCCACCGCCTAACCCGGGAGATGAGAGCTGGAGGGCCGAGTTTCGGCAGTTCCAGGAGCCCATACCTATACAACCCTCGGATCTCTTTCATTCCGGTGTGTTCGATTCATCCCTGTCCCCCCTCCCCAGAAGCTCGTCAGTAGCCGCCCCTTGTCCGTGCCTCTGCACCGGCGATCACTCCCCGCCCTCCTACGGTACTCTGGGTTGTCAC